TGTGATTTTCACAATAACAGATTCCAATTTCTTTCAGGCTCTCTGGTACATCTCTAAATCCCCACTGGGACCTATTTTCAGTTCAGAAAGACCTTGTTATGTAAGTGTTTTCACTACGTATACAAAGTGATGAATTTTTATAGAGTAGAAGACATGGCCTTACATATGATTGGCAATCTATTCAGTTCTCTTATGTCAATGTATTGATATCACATTAACATAGAACACATGCACTGAGTAAAGAGTATTTTACTAGCAAGGCTGAGAATACCCTCTAACCACAAATATTAGGACCATAATGCAGAAAATGCCCAAAGATGACAAACAAACATTTTTTTCTAGAACTCTTATTACTTTTTTCCAGGCCAGCAACCAAGAGAATGAAACATTTTCTGTTCAATTGACCCCCATATGTTTAAGAGAAGCAGCTTCCCTGTCCCCTTACGTGGGAAACACCCACCTGACTGTCTACAGGAGAGAAGTAAAGATTAAGAAACTGGGGAAAACAGACATCAAGCATCCATATAATCTCTATACCAGGTCAAAATCTACCCTGTGCTACCAACCTTCAGTTTTACTGACCTCATTGTGTTCCTGTGGGAAAACCAGACTCAGAGGTGATGCTGCCCTGGAACAGGTTGCGATAAGTAATCTCTGCTTAATATCACACATGAAGGAGGGGAATGAAATGAGATTCCTTTCAGATCATTTAAATTGGCAACAATCCCATGGGAACCTTTTATCTCAGTGTTACAAAAATGAAACTGGCCAAATGAACAAGAGGCATGTCATACCAGGTGATGGGGCTTGACCGCATGTTGCCGCCTGGAGTCCATTAAACCACTTCTGCCTTGCAGTGTGACCTACCTAGCTTTCATTGTATTACCTGAAGAAAATATCCATGTGTGGTGTACCTTTCATTTGACTTAACTACAGGGCACAAACTGAAGGAGTGATTCTTCCCCAGAGGGGCCTTACTGAAGGAAAAATGGCACCCTGTTCTGATGCCAGAAGTACAAAGCAGATATTAAAGGGCTGTTAGAAACGGCATGCACTCCCTTCCTGATCCTTAGTTCTCAGCTGGAGAACTCTGTTCAATAAATAACTACACTTAATTGATGCAGCATTTACTTGAACTTAACTGTCAAAATGTCTTGACAATTAATCAGATTTCGCACCCCAAACTATAATTTTCCATTAGTTGGGAACTTCAATCACTGATAAATTTCTTATTCTATGTCAACTGGAAAAAGGAAAAACCTATTATTCAAACAAGCAAAGTTTTATATGTATGACTTTCTTGGCTTATAATATAAACATAGTAGATAATTTAACTAAAACATTATGTATGCAGCAGGGAGCATTAAGTATTTTTACAGTAACCTGATTCACTATTGTAGTAATTATCCTACTATTCAGTGAAATAGAATATTTTCTATTTTAACCCAGCATTCAAACCACATACATTTACATTCTTTTACAAGCTTTTCTGTTCAGTGAAATACACAGTGCACGAAGCTGTGTTAAAAGATCAGAATGCTTGAAAAAAAGCCCAGATTTTTAGTTTCTGCCTTTTTTAGAGTACAAAGAAAATGGGAGTGCAAAGAGAGATCTATTCTCTGTGCCTGGAAGAGGAAGGACAGTCATTTATTTCTGTCCAAGAGTCTTCAGTTTGGTGATTCTGTGAAAATCTGTACTACCAGCTACACATGCTTGAGCCTCTCTGTGAATCTATTGAAACTGGCCATATTATTTATACTCCTTCTGTAAAAGAATAAACAGCATCTACAGTTAGTGGTAAGAGTAACCAGTTACCAAATTGCCTACAAAACTATTGCAAATGCTCTCAACTTTGTATTCAAGTCTCAGAACGGTCACTGTTTTTCTTAAGAGCCCTTAACTTTGGCTAGAATCCATTAATTTTCTAAGAATCTCAAGTTTCTTATAAATAAAATGGTAAACTTTTAGCCTTTATGAACCAGACAAAAGCCTGAAAACAAAACTGGACTGCACTCTAAAGCTTCCAAAGCCACAGACTATAGAGGGAACAACAGGAATTGAATATGTATTTATTATTTAATATTATTTTTACTGTAATGACTTTAGAGTGCCTGAATCATATTTTTTTTTAGCATATGGAAGATAAAGAAATAATAATTATATTGAACTACCAAAATCTGCCTCTTGCAATTTAAGGTACTTCTGAACAGAGACCCAGAACACATTGTTTGGTTTTTAAATGGAAAACATGCCTCTAAAATATTGTGGAGTAGTTAAATGATTGACAACACTAAAGAAATACTACAGATTACAAGAAAAATATTTGTTCTCCTCAGGAGCACTCTTTATTCTGATAACTATTACTTCTCACTGACAATATTATAAAAATTAAAACTTATATTTATGTTGGGAGCTCTTGCATCAGGGCCAAAGTTCTTCAGATTGAAAAAAAAAAAAAACACTGTGGGAAAAATAAGGGCAAATTCTGAGATTCCCAAGCACACAGTCGGCTTACTTTCAGCTCAGGATTTCTTCAGGCCCTGAAGACAAAATAGATCTTTTGCTTCCAAGATGGTTCCAGAGTTTCATATGAATGTTGAGGGTGATGTCTGCCTCATGACAAACTGGCCTGGACAACTTTTATTTATACTCATGGAAAGATTGATGAAAGAAGTACTAATTATGTTAACAGGTATAACACAATGTAGCAGTCCTCAAAAGCAGTAAGTTTTATGGTATTCAATATGCTGCATGAGAAGACACACAGATTTTGTGCAGAAAGCACACAAAATGACTGAAGGCTCACGTTATTAAAGCTCTAGAACATGCTTAATACAAGGAATTGGAAAGCAAAGATGATGCTTGATAAAGCCTTGCAGATCACCCTATCTCTCTAATGCTAATATCTCAAAAACCAATGTTTCCATCTGCATTTTTACATTTGCTTTAGAGAGGGACCAGAGGAGAGTTTGAATTAAAAGCCTAGTCTGTATAAGGATTTTTTAAAAAGGTGCAAGTGACAAGCGTTGAAAGAGAGATTCAATCCTTCCTCAAACAGTTGCTTCCAGTTTACTTAGACCCTGCAGACTTTTACTTCATTCAGTGTGTCAAGCACTAAGAAATGGGGATCAGGAGTTCTGAAGATAAAGAAATCCACAGGAATTTATTTTACTAGCCAATGCTAGATACACACATAGTAGAAAAAACGTACCTAATATAATTTACATTACACTGGGATATTCAAAATTCAGACAACATTTATTTCTTGTAACAAAAAGTTCATCTAATTGAAATGAGATTTGAACATAAAACTTAGCAGAAATGGATCAAGCTTCTTTGAACTACACAATGGAAAAATAGTAGAGAGTGAGATCATTAGTACATTGCAGTAAGCTGGAAGCAGAAGAGATGTCTGGTTTCCTTAAAACTATTTATTGACAGGTAATTTTTGGTCCATTTGAAAGGCTGTGCCAAGGAAGCAAGACAATCAGAGCTGACAGAAGGAAAAAATCACTGCTACCAGACTAGCAGTACCTCTGAAGCTGTTCATTGATAAAATATCCTGACAACTTCCCCCGTTTCCCCGGAGTATCACATAAGAAAAATTCCTAGACATAGTACCAAAGATACCACAGAAGCCTCAAGAAAACAGGTAATTTCTTTCAAACTTCTTCAAATGGATCATTTTTATTGTATATCAAACAGATGGTTCGATTACTGTGGAGATCTATAGGACAGTTCTAGGCCAGGTAACCTCACAAATTCACCAAAGGGCCAGAAATCAACAACAGAATTTACGTGGCTCCCTCAGGAACAAAATTAAGCTGAACGTGGGATTCTGCTCATGAGTAATTTTGAAGTTGCTTTGTGCAGGCAAATGAAACTACAGTACAGGCTCCTTAAAGTACCTTCAGCTGACACTCCCAGTAGAAGTTTTTATGTGAATATTATTGCCTGGACAAACTCACACATGAGGATGCAGCCAATGCAAACATGCACATATGCAATAGCAGGCAAAGACTAGAGATTAATTCAGCTTTGATATCTGCTCGTGTCCTCAAAACTCAGAAACTTTGGAGTTCTAGAACACCTCTGACAAAGATATTGGCTAAAAAGCAGTAGTGAAGTGGATCTAAGATGACAATGAAATGACTGTACTTTACAAAAATCAGTTATGAAAACAAGAACTACAAATTCAGTAGTAATGAAAGCCTTGTTCCTGCTTTAGAGTACAATTCCTTATTTCTAAAACCAATTCCCTCATTAAAATGGAAAAACAGAGACACTCAATCACAGTAGCTGTCACTCCCATGACACATTTATGCATATATACCTGGACTATAGCCTCTTCTACCTCATCAGTCACGTCCAGTGAAGATGGTGGAGGGAATGGGATACACCAGCTTTTGTGATCACACACACTGCTATTCCTATGGACCAACCCCATCAATAAACAGCAGTAGTAAAGGGTAAAGGAGGCACTTTTCAGCCACTTACCACCCTGCATTCTAAAGCATCCCTCCCAGCTTCTGTCTTCCAGGTTTGTACTGGTGAATAGTACAAGGAGGCTGCTTTCTGAGAGCTCTAGTCTGGCTTTCTGCTTCCAATTGTTTCTGCTCTCCCACTTTGCTACAATTTTTATTTCTTCTATGGGTACAACTGTCTTCACTTCCCACTGATGTCATCAGTCCTATCATATATAGGTGTGTTCTCAATTCCACTGCCTCCACTTAACACTTCATAATTCACTTCTGTTCAGTCCCAAAGTACAGCATGTAGTAGCAACACCAGCAGCCTTGTCTAGTAACATGTACTTAGGACGACAGGGAGATTCGATTACATTCAAAAAGGAATGTGCCTAACTACTTGCAGACAGATGCATGGCAGAGTTCCTCTGGAGTGATATACTGTACCAAGACCTAAACAAACTACAGTTTGATCTTCATGCTGGTCAGACCGAAAGCAAGTCTCCCTAATTACAATTTTGTATCCCAACCTTACTGCAGAAAATGGCAGCATTTTGAGAGATAAGAAAGAATTAACATGGGAATTGTAAATTCAGAACTTTTAGTTCCTAGGAAAAGAAAGGTCATCTAAATATTTGTTCCCATCACTGATGCAGTAAACACGCTGGTACCACCAACTGCCTGACAGCTGAGAGTCCTGCAGCAAAAAGACTAAATCCAATTGTTGTATCAACAACTTCTTTCACCTTTACCAGATAAAGTCAGTGTTTGAACACAAGTTATAAGGGAAAAAAGGTAGTTTGAAATACTCTACGGATAACCTAGAAATAAGTTAAAACCTGAAGCTGCACATCTTCCTACAGATCAACATAGCTACTTTAGGGTAAGACCCAACAATGTTAAATAATGCCAAATTCTTACAACTCAAAGACTAATAAATAAGTAAGGTACCTCCAAGACATGTGGCTGAACAAGGAGTAAAACCAATGTATTCCCAGTCATAAATCACACTGCCATCTTCAGCGTGTGAAAACTCTGGTGTGTAGGGGATAGGATCACTGTCACAGGATGCCTGGTGACAGACTCGTTCTGTTGGAGGCTTCACATCTTCACATTCCTCCTCAGGCAATTCAACCTCGGTCTGAGTAAATGAGAGAAGAATTCGGCACTTCACATCTCGCACCTGTATGCCACTGCCACATGTGACACTGCATGGAGACCAGGGTTCAGGAATAAACCTGCAAATAATCACAGTGCAGTAGAAACACTGTCATTTTATTTCATATAATTGTGTGCACAGTCAAAACATGGCAAAAATACAGACATGTCTGTTTATACACAAAGCAGACAACACCTAAAACAATTTGATGCTTAAACAGAACACATGATCGAGTGTCTTAAGCCTTTTGCTTGCCTCCCATTCCAGAACACTTCCCAAAATCCACCAAAGAAAAGATGTAGGAAATGAGGAGAAAGAACCATGAGGAACGAGGAAAGCTGCATCCTTTTGGGGGGAGGGGAGAGAGAAGGATATCATCTAAATCTTTTCTCAAGCTCCTTCAGCAGAAAAAAGAAGAAACTCCATGAGGACACATCTATATACTATAAAATAGCTCCCTAGGTATGCTGACTTAGGCATATGCCAAAAGTATATTTCCAGTCTGCTGAAATCTGAGAAATGCCATCACCTTATGTCATACTAATAATCAGCAACCAGACAGAAGAAAAGCACTTTTTAAATCTAGCCATCTCAAATGCACACCACCACAGGCTGCTGTTCAGGTTTAATCTTGTAAGGAGTCTCTCATCTTTAATAAAGAGGTCTAACAGGCTCAGTCTATAAACCATCATTTTTATTAGAAAGCATTTATGCTCCTGATGAACTATAGTAAAATCTTATTTTGCAGATCATGACTTTACTGAATAAAAGGAAGTTTTAGTCAATAATATTCTATGACTTCAAGGGTCCCATTAATACCTGACAGCAATTTTCAAAATAGCACTAGAGCCAAGGGACCGAATTTCATTAATAAAGTCATCCTGAGTGGCTCTGGGGTACAATTTATAAGAAATTAAATACAGCATTTTATAGGACATTTTTGTGGTCGCTCTTTATTACATGTCCAAATGCAGCTGATGATCAAAACACAAATATCAGATATAGGAAGATGTATTTGACCAATGCTAAAAATGTATTTTGAAGTAAAAATCCAAATTAGGATTCAAAGACTTTCTCCTCATCTTTGATTAAGAATTATCTTTCTCTTTACTGCAGGAAAGTTGCCCTTATACAAATATAAGAACAGCTGTGTAAGACAAAAATCGATATTTACACTCATTGACAAAACAATGTCAACACAGTATGGTTGATTCTGTGAACAGTTTATCATCTTGAACCCATAACTTCTTGCCAGTATATACAGAGGAAGAATCAAACAGAAGAAAGGAGAAGAGATGAGTGGGTAACCCATAAGGATGCTCCAGTTCAGTCTTTGGGGCAGTCACCCAAGCTGTACTTGAGATAGAGCGCACAACATTGTCTCATGTGCTCCTGTGGAAAAGACCATTCCTATTTCCCATAGCAGTTACAAGGTAACTAGTTATTTATTAAGGAGATGTTGATGAAATACCTTTACAACTCCACTATGAAGATAAATAAAGATGTCAAAGCTTGTCACTTCTAAGTTTCCTTGAACAGAGCCTCAAAATTTTAGTTAGGGCTCACTGGTCCCTGACAGACTTCAGAGTGAAGGGTACAGTATCCCCAGCTCCTCTTGTAAACAAGGAAAACTGCAAGTACTCATCACTTCACTACCTCTGAAGTAGACAACCAGACTGATTTTTATTGGTAGAGTATCGTCAAAATGATGGGTGGCTGTGTCCTACAGTGATAAAATCTGAGTAAGCATCCTACTGGTGCAGCTTAACAGCCCACCAAGTCCAATGGCACAACTGATAGAGGTCAATGTCCAGGTGCTTTGGATAACAAATTCTAAGCAAAGATCCGTGTGAAAACCTGCAAAGGAAGGCTTTCTCTTACCCCAGCAGAGAGAAGCAGCTTAACCCTGAAACATCAGATCTCACAGGCTTTTCAAAGACAGCCACGCAAACCACCTAGGGTGGCCATGGTAAAAGCACCCTCATCCAACAGAATGCTTAAGCACGTGCCTAACTTTAAGCACATTAGCTGTCCTCTGAAGTCAAAAGGACTATAATGTTAAACTTGTGCTTAAGTGCCTTACAGGATCAAAGCCATCGTGCACAGGCTTCACTAAATTATTACTTTCTTCCCCTTCTCTGTAAAAATATCTATTTAAGGTCATGTACCTAATTGGAAAAAAATTAAATTTATGGACCTTTATCATTGAAAAGAGTTAGTTGGTGTTCTGACCAAACCTAACAGTTTACAGTCTGAAAGCAAATAACTTTTTTTTTTGGTACAAGTATGACAGCAACATACCAGAAATTAGTGTTAGCTTTGTGTTCTGCTACTTGAGTGCATTAAAACATTCAAAAAATAATGTGTGATGCATTCTTTTGAAATCCTGTATAAATTAAAGGAAATTTTGAACCACAGCAATCCTTTCATTCAGCAACCAATTGATTTATAAAGAAACTTGGAAAATTCTAAGCATTTTTCTTTGACTTATAGCAAGCCTGTATTATAATTGAGGTTTTCCTGTTGAATATTAATGTCTGGTGTTTTTCAGTGAAGTGTGAGATAAAAGCAACACCCAGAATACTTTTTATTCTATCTTGGCATTTGCTAAATTATTCATGTGGCTATTTAGCTATTAAAATCCTAAATTCTAGGACTTTCAAGGAATTATCATATTATAGTCACACTTTAAGTACCTTTAGCAGAAACCAATGGAGTCTGCTAATATAAAAATCAGAGCAAGGAATTGACTTGGAGAAGGGAACCGACCGGACTTTGAGAGAGCTCCAGAGGTTGGCATTGTATCTGAGTTTTGAGTTCAGGCAGATGTTTTTTTTGTTTGTGTTTATTTTACATATGCACAACCAAAACATGTGACAGATCATTAAAGCAAACTCCATCAGCCTCAGAAGTGACATATATTTTTTACTCAGTGGCATCTGCAGCGCACACATGGCAATGCTCTGACACGATACCTCCCTGAGGCAAATTCACTCTGCCTTTGGTGGGCATTCACTCAGGGTGATCTCAGGTCAGGATTAAAAGGCATCAAAGCACTTTTATCATGATGCCTTGCAGATCTTCAGGAATTTCTAGTGGAATGGATACGATGGTTGGAAGTCTGAAAATTTTCTGATATCTCTAAGGTTGTAGATGTGTTCCCTCTCATTTAAAAAAAAAGAAAATAATGGAAAACAGAAAACCAAGCAGGCACAGCTTTTCACAATCAGGCATTTTGTATAGTCATTCTTTGCAGAGCGACGTAGAAATCAAATGCTCCTGCAATCATCTGCACAGGTATAAGTAATGTATACACTACAGGTGCAGTGGAGAGTATGTCAATGCTGCTGCAGCCTTCTCAGTCTCACACTGATGAAAATGTGCATTCTCCCGGCACACTCTGAAAAGGCCACTGTAGGATGACCTGGAAAATGTAGCAGTGACCTAAACTACTGATGGTAAAACTGGGACAGAAGGGGCAAATCCAATCTGAACTGTAAACTTCACTCAGTGCAGCCTTCTGCAGTTTTCTAAAGACTTGGAAAACATGGTGTCTCTTTTTTTTTCCCCCCTCATGCCTGCAGTTCTTGCATTTAAGTTAAGACAGGAAATGCCTAAATCCTAAAAAAAGGCTACTTCTGTGATATTTCCAATCCAACCCTACTGCGCCAAGAGGCCTGGATAAAAGTTTGCAGAAGCATCTAAAATGTTGGCTGCTTACTGGGGCAGAACTTCCATGATGCTGGCAGCCTACCCCTCCCTGAAGCACTCCACTTGTCGGCCCTAAGCAGAGTTGCACTGCCAGGTTTTATCAACCTCAAGTGTAATGTGTTGGATAAAATCACAAGCCAATATTCAGAAAAGAAGTTGTGAAATTGTGTAATTTTCTATCACCGAAGGCATGATGGAGACACTTCAGTGAACATGAATCAAACGCAATGAGCAGGAACCTTTATGAGAGACACCACTTTTCACATTCAGGGAGTGCAAGACCACAAACCTAGTGATTACTTTCTAGCTCAGGTTGCTGAAAAAATATATCAGCTTTTGAAAAAATTTTATTTTTGTCCTAAGTCACGACAAGGAAAGGCAGCTGAGGTGTCTATTTCTTTAACTTACGATTAATAGAAAGGATGCAAGAATCTTGCTGGAGCTTCTCTGCAAATCCCACTGTAACTAAGAAGGCTCAAGGGAAGAACGTTTAAAATAATGATTGGTATCAACTGTCATCACATTCCACAACCAAAAACTAAAAAGGTCAGACCTACATTTTTCTTGGCCCTACTTTAAGGGCAGTCATTTTTTATTTTGCTAATAATAATAATAAAAAAAAAAAGACGCTTTTGAACATTCCCCCTCTATGTAAATTCAGGACACCAGCCATGGTAGACCACAGCAGCAGAAGTATTTATCTTCCACGAACTACTTCTGGCATATTCATCATTTGTGGGTTCTAAAACACAGCTGCATTTATTCTCTTATTCATTATCAACTAAAATATCACACAAAAGCATAGAAAGACAGTTGTAATAAAAGGATGGACTAGAAGTTGAGACTTCATCTTGTGGCTTAAGTTTGGATGACAAGAGAATAACTAAAATTAAAAGTGATGGCATTTTATGAAGGAAATCATAAGCCTCCTGCTAGGCAGAGGTGGGCTATGTTACCACAGTGCCATGTGTCAATTACAGAAAAAGAAGTTAAATCCAATCCAGAGGGAAATCTTGTTATAATTTACTCTGGGTGAAGTAACAATCTATTGTTACAGTTTCTTTTAAAATCCTAAACCCTGACCCAGAAAAATATCGCTCCAGCTGGAAAAGACCAAGGCATTTAGGGCATGAGATTTAAGGTAGATACCATTTAAGAAACTGCTCTGGTTGCAAACCATTATCCACATGACCAACAGGCAATCTGCTGTAAGAAATTAAGTCAGGGATCATTTATTTTTGTCATTTCTCCTTATCTGCCAGCTTCCTTAGAAGGATAAAGTAAGAGCAGGTGGGAGCAGAAAAGAGGCAAAAGGAAACTAATGGAGAATCTGGCGGTAGCTTTAATGCTGGGTTCTGGGAGAGCCCAGAGTACCCAGACTAGGAAAGCACCTCACCTCAGCAACACCTCAGTAAAGAGAAGGATGGCAGTCATCAGCAAGAAGTGGCTAGCAAAACATTTAAGACTTAGGTGAAGACTGAAGATGCTTCTGGAAAATGTGAAGGAAAGAGTCTCAGGGCAGGGTAAAGATGATGAATGGAAGATGAAGATCTAGAACTCCAGAGTAAGTGAAGGGGAAAAAAAGATCCAGGCAACTGCAAAACGGCACAGCTATGACAGGACACGCACTGAGAACTCGAAGACACGGCTGCCTTCGCTGTGAGGCTGCAGTGGAACACATCAGCCATGTCTAGGGAGGCATGGCATGCAGGAACTGCCTTCTCTGTGAGGACAAGGTACTAGGGAACCCGTTACAGATCTTCCAGCTCAGCTCTATTATACTCTAAATATACTCTGAACTAGCATGCTGTGTCCCTGCCAGTCCTCTCTGCCTGTTCTGTCAAGAGTGCTGCTGAAGGATCCTAAAAACCTAGAGACTACATTAGCTCACAGTTGCCACAGCATGATTTTGTATTTCTAGCAATCATTTTCTTTACAGCTTCATGCTGAATACTCTTTAGAGATGGCCTCATATACCTTCACCCTGACATGCTGACATTCAACAGGCACATTTGATTGCATCATCCCCTTTGACAATCACACTTTATTTTTATGTCTTTGCCACTACCCTGCCTGAATTCAGGGCCACCAATTTGGAGAGTGAAATAACCACTCACAGTAGGCTGACACTTGAACTGAGAGGCTAGAGCAATGAAAAGTTTAAGGCACAGTCACCATAACTATGCAAACACCTGTTTGGCAAGAGGTTTTTTCTGTGAGTCAGTGCAGGTGTAAAGATTTTATTACTCATGATCACACCTGGTGGTGAGTATGTGCCAAAAATCAGGAATAGTTAGATGGAGGAATTAAAACAAGAAGTTATAGGGTACATTCTACTCTCAGAGCAATATAAGATCATCTAAACTATTTTAAGCTAACATTACTACAAATTAGTGGAAAAATTTGGCAAAGCACAACAAAATACTGTTCAAAATACCTTGTGAGAAGCTTACAGAAAGTTACTACTTTTTAGAAAGTTATATACTCTTTATTGAATATATTAGATACATAGATGCATGAAACATACACAGAGGATATCAGCAATTGTGTACATGCCCTGACATATAATGGACAGACAAGTATAGCTGGATTTAAGTTATGTTTTCATGCCCAGGAGTTAAATGTTGCAAGGCTTACCTCCAATCAGCTTTTAAGGGGACTCTCCAAATCCAGATGTTATTTCACACACACACGTGTAAACTATCACAACTTATCCCCATAGATTCAACTAAGCTCAGAGATCAGCAGGTTTTTCTCACTTTCTTTATGCATTGGCCTCATCCCCCAAGGAAATCCTGGCAACCCTAGAAAGTACCTCTTAATTTTTAATAGAACCACTACATTCTGGATGTAACAGCAATGACTGGGATAAAAATGAATTTATTGAATTTGCATCTGCTGAAATGATCCCACATGCATTAATTTGGGCTTAATTAGGCTAAATTAAGATCCCTTTGCATTGCTTGAATGATACAGAGACACTGTAATAGAGTAGTTCTGTGTCATCCTGAACAGGAGCTCCAGAAGCAAAGCTACTGAGACAGGATTAGGAACAACTCATGTCCCAAGGAGAGCCAACTGTCAAAGCAAACTGTATAGCAACAGTCACTCCAGATCACCTGCAAAATATGCTGGAAATGTTTCATTGCTGTAAAAGACAATGTACTCACGTTGGTTCTTCAGAGACTGTTATGGTCTCTTCCACTTCATGTGCCTGTTTAAACCATGGCAACTTTGCTTCCACCGGATTCTTTTCTGTTGGAGAAAATAACTCAAAACATTCAGTAATTCCTCTAAAATCAAAGCACGTAAAACATAATTTACTAGAAATTATCTTCATGTTTGAGCTCCATTCTGACATGCTTTTTTACTGAGAGGGTGCCAGAAATCCAGTTCCCATTCTTATTTGATCTTTTAGTTCCTTCCCATGTCTTCCCCAAATGCAGGCAGTTTCTAGCAGATTGTAGTTTGTATCTCAGTGTAATGGATTATCATCATAACTTTATAGCTGAAAAAGAAGCCAGAGCATACCAAACATACATTGCTCTCCAGATAAAATGGCTTCATTAGAAAATCTCCACAGAAAATTCTTTTCTGCTGAGTTAGCCAGCTTTTCCAAAATCAGAAATTAAAGAACACTAGGTTCTTTTATCTGTCTATGCATGTTACACTTCTGTGATGCTTTTTCTTGGAGTACTGAAAGCCAGTTGACGATCTGTGCCTCCAAATTTAAGTAAAATGCCATAAGAAGGTTCTTAACATTTCAGTGCTGGTTTCTACTTCATGATTTAACCCTGAATAGTTTTCTGCTTGAAGAATTCCTTATAGTCCAAAAACATCCTCAAGGGAAACATAGGGTTGTCTACAGATAGCTTTCACTTTTTCTATGTCAATCTTTATTGAGTTGTGAAGGTCTGAATACAGCCTTTCAAATAAAAACTGAAAGAACGAGAGTAGCACCCACTAAAATTTTCTGGGCCCAGAGGGGCAGAAATGAGCAAGGCACGAGATACACTGAATTTCCCCCCTTTTCTTTGTTTTTCTTTCCACCTTGCTGCCTGTTTCATGCGCCACAACTCTTTTAGAGAACATCAATTTACATCATTTTTACAGACTTTAAACATGCAGAAATGGAGAAGAGCAAAGGAAACCAGTTTGATTATAACTTAATGAACTGGTGAGGCCCACTGAGAATGTTGACACATTTAATATGATGTAAATGAACAAGATCTCAAGCGATACACACGGAGTATCATCCCCATTTCCAGTGTTATTGAACAACTCCTCCTCCCCACGTTGAGCTCATTAATTCTGGTTTTCCCAATTTGACCAGGCTGTATAGGTTTAGTTAGCATGTTCACCTCATGACAGTCTGGTCACATTATCAGCAAAAAAATATCAGCAGGGCACTTTCCCTAGCACCAATAATTAAAATGCTTGTTTCTGCCAAGACTGAAATAAGTCCTAATAAATTCCAGCTTCTGGCATCCCTGAAAAAAGGTTACCAGGGGCTTTTAATTCTCTTAACAAAAATGTAAAACAATAACAGACCCAGACAAAATTCCAGTTACCTTTTGGCTTGTAGCATGGTATTGGCACGATGCACTCTTCTTTTATGTGTAGTTTAAGCTGTGGGTTACAGCCACCAACATGCTGCCCGCGATGGTCGATGCACAGCACCACTCGGTACCTCAGGCCTCGGCCACAGGTCACTGTGCACTGCAGGAGACAATGCCACCATCTCACACTCTCTCTTTTTTATCATATTGACAAACGCCAGTAAAAAGCAAGCTAGAAGTACTAATCATGTGCTCACTACAGTTTTTCCACAATCAGTCCAGTGTGAGAGATATATGAATTTGTCCCTGGCATTGCTAGGTGAACAAAGAAAAGGTTGATTCTGGAAAAAAAAAATCTCAGTTTTGGGAATACAAGTGATTTCTTGGGGTTCTGTAAAGCTTATCTGATTGGCAGCAGTCTGAAACAGAGGTGGCTATGCACGGAGAATATGCTCTCTCACAGTGGTCATTTTCAGTTAAAGCTGGGTCAGACGTGCTGCAAGAACAGTTTCTTCACTACATGTCAGTGATGTCATTTGGATGAACTAAGGAATTATAGAATTGTTGAGATATCTGACTATATCAGACAACTACAGTCAAGATAAGTTGGCTTTATGTTGTTACTATAAGGAAAGGTAAGAATGCTGGAAAAATCACACTTGCAGACATGTCAGCCACTAGACAGACATGCCTTTAGCTATGATATGCAGTGAAATATTACATTTAGCAAGAACTGAGAGACAAACGACCTGATTGCAAAGGGGCCTGACCTCTGGATCTAATTCCTCCTCCGTGTAAAGGAGGAATTTAACAGGCATAAATAATTCTATATACAAGTTTCTCCATGCAGACATGTTAACATTTTGATTATCAGGGCCAATTTATTTAGTGCAAACATCTCCTAGTAAATAATACGAATTATGCTTGCAAGGCTACATTTTTCTAATAGTCCTGTGCTCACAAATACATGGTAACACAAGACTACAGGCTTTCTTTATAAAACAAGAATAAAGGTCCAGATTTCTTTTCAACTTACTTGAGACCATTCCATTGCTACCCATTTAGGACAATCAAACAGATTGCAGGTTTGAATGACCTTGGGCTTAGGGGCATACATGCATTTCCATTCTTCCACTTGCAGTATCTCTCCGTGAATGGTCTCCTCTACGCACACAAAACTTCTCCTCTGAATGCCACCGCCACAGGAAACTGAACATGCAGTCCAAGGGTTATGCTCCCACCTGAAAAAAGAACTCGCATATTAAAAATACTGCTATTTTTTATTCCAATAACCTCTATTAAAAGTGTCAAATACTGAATCCAACCTTAGTATCATTAAAAACCACTAACACTTTGATTGCTGGATTCTTATCACACTCTGAAAATAAATACATTGAATTACAGAGCTATTGTTCAGTATCTTAGGCTTAAATTCACGTGCAAAATGAGAAGAAAAACAGAACTATAAATTTAAGTACATTTCTCAAAGTAATTGAAAATCTTTTCCTTATGAGTTAAAGAACCTAAATATACTGAGTTCAATAGCTGGAATGATTTACTTGTGAAAAGTCCAAATCATCTAAACAGAATATTTTTCATTGTTAATTTACATGGTCACATGTACTCTGATTACCATTGTCAGAGACTGAGAAGCACGTGTACTTGAGATTATATGAAGTCCAAAGACAAAGACAGATCTGGCTGTGCTGACCTCAGGGTGTTATTACCCACAGTTGCTCACCACTGCCCACATCATGCAGACTACCCTTAAAAACATCTGTTCATGAAAGAATTTTTATGGGAACTCTAATACTTGCTCTGGGTAAATGCAGCCATTTAATTTCAAACTGTCTCCATCCATAAGGACTGTGAACAAATTAAATTGTGACAGGTACCATTTGGCTGGTCACCACTGCAGTTCTGCAAGAGTTTTCCACCCTCATTAAAATGCTGTTGAATGACTTTGTATTCACACTTTCCAAGTTGCTTCAAGCAAATGGCAGCTGCTCATCCGCTTCAGCTAACCCAGCTGATTTCTCCTGAAGCAGGGTGATGCACAGATTCAGGAAAGCTCACACAGCCCTGTCAACCAGCAGAGCTGCGTGGCAGTAATCTCCAAGGGAGGGATGACAAACAATCTGCTGGGAGGGAATATCTTCAAAATGGACATCTAGCCAGCATCTTAGAACTAACTACAACAAAAATGGAAATTGCTGCACCGTCTGTGGTGAGAATTACAGGGAGGTTTTTAGCTTACAGACTCTGTTTCATTTATCTCTTGGTTTTAGCATGAATGTACATTCAGGCAATCAGTCCTCAACAAAAACTAACTTCAACAATGTCCTGCTCCTGTCATGTTTAGAGATAACAAGCTTCTATGATAGCATTTGTCTATAGGTTCCACTGACCCACACAGTTTTTCCAGACCTCTCAACCCCCTATCTCTTGCTTTCTTTACACCACCTGCCTAAATGCTACCTACCTATAGCTAAGCCCTGGGAAATGATGGAGTCCTGCAGCATATCTTATGGTTCATCAATGCCTTGTTACTTTAAAACTTATTCCTACTACAGTTGCAGGGGCTCATAGAGGATCATGGAAAAAATTATATCCCTTATGAACAACGGACACAGCAAGTACAAGAATATCCCATCAAAACTAATTAATAAAAAGTAACTTAGTTATCATAAAAGAAGCCATAATCTTAGAGTAGATGAGGCAAAGGCCTGTAAATCAGAGGTGATTTAAGTAATTACCACCCACTTTCTATGGTACAGCACATAAATCAAAGACATTTCCTATTTTAAGCAATTCATTAAACTGTATATGAAAACATATTAATCATGCTTAAGCTCAACAGAAGAATGAGCATGAAACATACAGCAAGCAATGGAACATTAACCACAGAGTATTTACTCAAAAGCATTCAGAATAAAGTTGTATGCCCAGATCATATCACAAGTACAAGACACATTTGAAGAGCAACAGTGAGACTTTTGACTTAAATGAATGGCCAGCACTAACTCATTTTCTTTAAAAAAAAAAATAAAATCAAGAACTAAAGAGCAATTAACTGTTCAATGAATTAACAGCTCATGGATTTATATATATAAGGCTCACAGTGCTATATGTAATACTAGCCTCGCAAGTGTTTATAGCATGAAGTTTTATAGATGTTTTTCTTTATCTCATCAGTTTCAAACACACTCCAGATCCCATACTCCCATAAGCATTTTCAAGATGGAGTGAGGTCCATGGCTACTGGGGAAAAGGGGGGTCTTGGGCAAGCAGTCAAGGAGATACTTTCCAGAACCCACAGCTGTCAAGGGATCCTCAACAGTCCAACAAGTCTGAAATAAATGGAGGCATTCCAAAAGCTTTAAAAGAAAATTTTCATCCTGGGAAATTTTTCTATTTATTTCAAAAGAATTCTCCATCTGTAAAAATATTTCAGTGGGGCATTTACAACTCTAGCCACAGGAGAACTCTTTCAAGATCTTGCGGTGCGCACCATGACTTTCCCACAACTTCCTCATGTGAATGGGACAGCAGTGGTAAACACCACAGGACTGCATCGCAGCCCTCAGCACGGCCCTGCTGTTATGTAGGAGGTGTGATGTATGACTGCTGGTCAAGGTGAAGGAGTCTGTACAGCTTTGCTCAAGCATAACTACAGTACTTTGGTATTCTGCCTGCTTTGCAAGAACGGTCGTGGGTTAGCATGTAAAAAACAGGTAAGAAAAGAAGCAGCAGAAAGAAAAAGCAAAGGAAAACGTGGAAGAAGCCCCAGAAGAGCTGGCACAGACTAATGCATTGCAGTTACTTGACAGGCAACAGCACAAAGAAAATACATCCTGCTACGCTGAATCTGATCTGTGCCGGATCAGATTCACCTCATGATGCAGGTATACAACCTGGCTGCTTCAGCTGCTCTTTCTGTCAGAAATTCCAGCAAGAAAAGGTGCTTTTACATCTTCATTTTGCTTCTTTATGTGCCCTCCCTATGGACCACAGCCTGTTTCTTCCTTCTCTTTCCTGCTGGCACCAACTCTGAAGCCTGCTTACAGTTCTTACTCCTGAGCATACACCCAGAAAGACCATGATACCTTCCTAACAGAGCACACACCGAGGTGTCAAAACACGGTGGACCCTTGTATGTAGTTCTCAGTGTTAAAAACAAGAGAACCTGCCCACAACTTTATCACAGACATAATCTACCTCACCACAGTGTCATGAAAATGTCCTGAGCACAGTAAAGCAGAGAAAGGGGGATTCAATTTCTCTTCCAAATGGTCTCTAAGCCCTGAGCAGTTCAGAAGATGAAATACTCATGTAAATTGTGTTGAGTTCCAGAGGAGATCTGAAGTACAAAAGAACTGGCAAAAGAAATGGAAGGAGAGAGACGCAGAACATAATTATGGAACATTACAAGATAAAGTTGTAGAAGAAAAAAATCTCAATCTATGTATGAAAGCCAAAGTACCTCACAGGACAGCAGATCCACAACAAGCGTAAATTGCTATAGAAATAAACTCTGACATTTATATCAGCTGTAATCAGTAGCTCCACTGAGCCGTGCAAGTCTATGATTTCATTCTTATTACTTCATATCTTTGCTTCTTTAGAAAAATACACATTATTCATTTCATGACATAATAAAGCAGAGGTTCAACTCAGAGAAATATGCATCTAACTCCATCAACTATAATTCAATACATTAACAGAAAATCTGGCTCAATGCTTTATAGTCCTAATGTTCTTTACAAAACATCTAAGCCTTCCAGAGAGACATTTACACTCTTGTGATTAATTCAGATTAAAAAAAAAAAAGGCAGCGAATTGTGCACTTAATTAATGTGATAACAATTTTAGGCACTTTAAAGCGATACATCAGCCTTGATGTCAATAAAGAGAGTGTAGATCTAAAGACGAGCAGAAGAACGAGACCTCTCAAGGAAAAACTTTTCTAGAGTCCTGTAACATAGGGAGACCTGTAGAAGAATATAATTAATTGCATACATCTTCAAAATAAAAAACATTCAAGACAATAATTCATACATGCATTTTAAAGGAGATGGTCTTCTCGGTGCTATAGCAGGAGGAGGCTTAGGGAGACTACTCTTTATTCTAAAATCTTCCACACTGATATTTTCAAGAAGAGCATATTAACCTCCTACTGTTAACCTAATCATCCAGAGCACACTGAAATAAATCAAAAGCTTCAAAAATGTGTACAGGATTGCTATAAACTTTCTTTCCTACACAGTCAAAAAAAAAAATAAAAATCAGAAGCTGTTCCATGATCTTAGGATTCAAATAGTACATATGCAGTGAAACTTATGCTTCTGCTGACACATATGTTATCCTGATTATACATACCGAGGAAGTGGCTGGAAGTGATCATAGGGCATGATTTCTTTAAATCCATCACTGTCAACAAAATAAATAATGCATCATTATTTCTCATGCCCAAGACTGTACATCAAGTACATACTGTTCTGTGGTCATGTTTAAAGCAATTCCCAACATGAAATGAAGGAATCTTACATTCATTAAACAATACCCTTGTGGCAAACTGACTCGTATAATCTCACCTCTTCTGCACAGATCTACTCACCATAGAGTTTCTCCACTTCATATCACCCAAAAAAAAATTACATGATCAAGCCTTCAGCAGAGAAACTTATTATCAGTGATCTTTTAGGTCTGTGCTACTTTATTAACAAGAAAATAGATAAATACTTATATCTGTAACAAAGACCGCTGTAGAACATGAGTGGCAGTGAAATAAATTAATCATAGGATTAATCCTAGATAAGTCCTGAGTGGTGTTTAGGACCTTTCTAGAGCTCTTTATTTGAATTGCAAAGCACAGAGCAGGCATAAAGCATTAGTTCCAATATTCCAATACTAAGAAATATGGTATTATATCCATTAGTTCTTCCCTTTTTCTGTCTGTATAAGCTAAATTTGCAAGGAAAAAGATAATTACACCCTTTCTTTCCTCAATTTTCCCATTCCAGCTTTGCAACATTTGGCACTCACTGCCATTAGAATCATTACTGAAGTCTTACCAATCCATACAGCGATCAACTCTTCAGGAAAAAAACTTGAAAGTCTACACATCTATAACTGTTAGAGGTCACTATCAACAATTATGTTCAACAGGAATGAAAGGAAATGGACAGTTTAGCTATAGGAAATTAAATCCATTGAGAGTGTTTCCTTTTCTTCTTGCGTATAACTCTAGCTCAGCCAGCTGGCATATTAATGTGAGGTTCTGGGACTTGATACTGTGATGTTATTTTAAGATTCTTTAGCACAGCCAGGAAACCTCACCAGACAATCCAAAAGTTAGTTTGAAATACTGTAGTGCAATTCAATACAATTTATGTATACTATAGCCTTTGTAATTTGGCAATAATATTCTGTGGTATTTGTACCACAAGTATATTTACTCTGAATTTTTTAATTCTTAGTGCAAAAAAAACAACCCCTCAAAGTTTAGTAACTGTCAACTCCACAGTACAAATGAAGAAAGAAACTTTTACAGTAGCCAGATGAATAGACCGAGTTAAACCATGAGCAAAATTTGTACACTGATTGAGAACTGGAGCTAGTGTCTGTCTAATGAGAAATCCTGAATGGCAGCATCAGTAAATCCGAAAGCAGACAGTCTGTCCCCCTCACATAACTTCACAAACTCCTTGTACTAGTTCTGTACCACTCAGCAAAAGACAAACAGAATAAGCCCTTGAACAGACAATTTGATATTTACAATATCTGTGTATAAGCAAAATCTTCTATTCTGCAATGCTGAAGAAGTGCTACAAATCTATTGGCAGTGGTGCCAGACATCAACCTTTACACAAGCAATAACCAACCCAGATAAGGTAGCCTTAAGGATGAACAGAACTGAAACTAAATAAATACAATTGGTTGTTCCTTACTAAGTGACTATACTACATGAATTTATTTGTCATACAAACCTAGAAGGGCAGGGATCCATGTTGCATTCTTTTAACTTGGGCTTTGGTTTCTTATTTTCTGGATAGTAATGACAATAGTGGTCAGGAACAACACGCTTCAGACGAATATCCACGCATTCAGCTGAGTTAAGCTGATAACCTAGTGCAGAAGCAAAGTTAAATTTTTGTTAGAGACATAAATTAAAGCAGCCTTACTCCTACCCAAAAATAATACGCTGCCCATTGAATTAATTTCCTGTGTTACTCTTTGTTGGTTTACTTTTAAGCAAGGAAACACTTCAAAGGAACATGCAGGACCAGATCTTCATTTAAGGCAGCTTGCACAATAATTAGGTAAACCTATCGTAAACACTAGATGAGACTCTAGAACATTTTTCTAATAATATTCTAAGTACAAGAGTAAAAGTATACATTTTTATACACTGCAGGAATACATGTACTGGAGCAGCTCACCCATCAGAGAGGCATCCCTACAAAGTCTTGTGGTTCTACTATACGTTAAACCACAATTTACAACCACCCACCCCAATGAGAAGTTACCATGTATGTTAGAGAGCTGTATTAGAATCATGGATGTTAAAAGAAAAGTAAATACTTAAACATAAAGCCAGAGGAACTGAGATGAGATCCAAAAACATTGCTAAGTTAAACTGTAGAAAACCAAGAAATAGTTTCAAGAACATTCCTAGATGAAGAGCCAACAACAGAAAACTTGAGGTAATTACTGGTGACAAAAAAAAAAAAAAAAAGAAAAATATCTGTGTGGAGACTGGTTACAAGAAGGGATCTGAGCTTTATAAACCACTAGGTTGCTTTTTTGGATAAGAAAAAAAAGACCCATTTAAAAGAACTGACTTGGACTTAAACCAAGGGGAGGAGAAGGATGTTCTGGTATGTGCAAAGAAAAAAAGTTTGAAACCACAAGAATTAAAATCCAAATAGAGTCAATAAACTGACAGTACAAGTCAAACTGTTTACTGAAAGTGCTAAGTATCATATATCAGTGGCTTAACTCCTGTGTCTCTTGACTCATTCAAAGTGTCATCGCACATGAGAGTGATAGCCATAAAGAAGAACTAATCCATTCTAGTGCTCCAAGTATGTATGTTCCAGTTCTTGTAAGTACTGAAAGGACCCAAAAGTTATGCCACTTCCAAACAAGATAAACACCATTTTTAAACATTCTTGCTCCTTCAAGCTTGTGCTTGAATTGTGCTTTCTGAGCTGCAAGTCACACTCCCCCTTCCCACACACAAGGATTGCAGGATTAAATTTAGAAGTAGCATCTAACTGAGGAATAGCTGTGCACAGGTTCCAAGTCTCTGTTGTGAGGAACTTTTACTGCCCATAAAAGATGCCAGACAATGTGGGTACTAAATCTACTTTAAGATAATAGGTTAATCCAGGCACCTGCAATACAACTTCTCTGCATGCCTCTCTAATATGCCATTCTAACACTACTACTACTTTCATGGGTAAGCAGCAGCTGAGTTTCTGTGCTTCTTTAGTTACTGGCCTCTCTCAGGACTGCCGTCAAGAGTGTCAAGCCCTGTTGATAAAGGTACCAGTTTTCATATTACAGACATGAAGTTACAAAGCAGGGCATTGAAAACCCTGACTAGTTTCAAAGAGATTGATATGTAGGTATAATTTTCAAACCATAGCATAAGCTCAAATAAGGCTGGATTTGAGCCAATAACTTTCAAGGTAAAGATGTCCCTTGAGTTTTCCAGTGTTTACAGGCAGTCTTCAAAAGCAACTGTGATGCTCTGCACTTCTTCCCTTGTCAGATAGGTTACGGAAAAATTCCTAAACACAGTGTGATGGAACCATCAGAGGATATGTACTGCCACTCACAGATCCAGCAAGAATCACACTTCATGAGGCCAAGTGTCTTATAAGATTCAGTAGTTTCCTGTGGGAGTACATGTTATACACATATATTGTCTGCATTTCAGATTAAAGTGAGGTGCGAGTGCCAAAATGGATGGTCCATCAAAAGATCCCCAGACTCTGTGCTTTAAACATCTTTCATTTTTTATTCATGTCTCATGTAACTATTTAAACTATATTTGTACTCTCCTAGAATATCACTACACCAGTAACATGAGTAACCCAGTCTGTTTTTCAGGTGACCCAAGTACTGGTAGCTGAACTGAAATAGCTATGTACAATGTCAAACACCCCTCTGACCACAAAGTCACTTTTTGCAGAATCAGACACGACAAGCAGTGAGATGGGCTGGATGAGCAGTAGCAGAGCTGAGCTGCCCTTTCTCTAACCATTGTACATCTGTAGCATTTAAACCAGGAACAGACACTACAGCACACTGTCTGTTGCTTTAACTACCATCAGGACCAAATGTCTAAGATCTGACACACAAACATATTGATAGCAACTGTTCTTTAAATTCTGCTTACATTTTCTGTTTAATTTCTATACTAAGTATTCTAAAACTCACCTTTATGCCTACTCTTGTAGCCAGAAATATCTTCTTCCTTCATCTTTCAATTATCCTTATTTTAAAATCTCATTGTATTTCTTTGCTTAGCTTCCCAAAATGTATTTTATGAATTATCATTTTCCACTTTGAACGTCCTATCTTAATTTCTTAGTCAAAGTTCTCACTCAAACAACCATTCCTTAAGGAAGAACAAGACTTCCAGTAACATGTTATAAAAAAAACGTATGCTTACACTAACCAACTCACCTGCTACTCTCTCATTACTTTTTCTGAAGAATCTCCAGTGGGAAATGAAATACAAATATTTAATCCATAAAAATGCAGAACGACAGTTGTAAATAAGCCGCTTTTCATCTTCAGCTGTAAACACTCCTGAAGAATTGCCATGACTTACCTCCTCCACATGTCACTGTGCAGGGGAAGAACTCTGTTTGTCTCCACTGATGACTGATGGGTTGATAGAAAAAGAACTGGACGACACTTTCTTTTGCTCCAGAGTACCTGGTCTGCAGAAATTTCCATTACAATACATGTGTATGCTGTTATCCTCTGCTTATGTAATTTAAAAACATAATTCATATGTAATAGCAGTGCAGAGAGTAACATAACAGGCATAAAATCTATAGAAAGTCTAGCATAACAAATTTAAGACTGTAGTAGTCAAACACCTGTATGTTGCTTTATTTTCAAATAATTCAAGGTACTAATGCAACTATTTATCTATGCTAGACTGGTAAAATTCCTGATTGTATTCTTTCGTTGCATTTCTTGGTTAGTGAAATTTTTTAAATTTCCTGGAAAGTCTATAACTGATGCAAGCACACTGACTCACATTCAGGCAAGTCTAACTGCATGTGTGATACTGGAGATGCAAAATAAAAACTACTGAGAGTGTACTTCTACGACACAACAAATTAAGCCAAATGGTGTGATAACACTGAAACACCTCTTATTTTCAATGGGCAACTGTATGACCAGCTTCCTTTGCCAGTCAAACAGTGGTACGTTTCTACATCTGAGTATCTGCACGTCTGATGTAGGCCATGGCACGCGGTCTGGGTAGCGAGGACAGGGGTTAGAAACAGTCAGGAGCTGGATCAGCAGCCCCTAAGGAGGTTCACGGGTGCTGCTGGAAGCAGTGCTCAGGTTCAGTAGGTGGCAGTCTTCAGTTGGGTTAACACCTAGCCACTGCACAGGATCACCCTGATACTCCTTCAGTAATATTTAAAACAAAAGTCCTGGCCATTTTCAGCATGAAAGATCCTGTGGTACTTTCCAACACAACAAAGACACTAACCTCAAAAGATCTTAATTTCTTTGGATATACTTAATATCGTTTATGTCTGGACTGTAATTAGGATTCCTTATTTGCTAGCTAAAAGATTTTGTTCCATTGCTACAACCTGATGGACAGCCACCTAGTCTGTTGCACATACTTGCAACACCTTTGTAGATTTGTACATGTACGCATCCTACCTTGATAATGAAATCTGCTCCAAGAGGTCCCTGGATTTTTATGATTTCCCTGTCAGTACTCTTCTGAAATTCAACAGTTGTATTTTCTATGACAAATGTTCCAGGAACATTAAAGCTGTGCTCTCCCTTGTCTCCTTGTAGTGTCTTTGATTCTATAACTAAAAAAGAAACATGCAATTAGAAACTTAAACAAGCTATTTTGTATTTTCAAGGAAGTCAGATGTTTACAAATTTACCTTGTAAGTAACAGCTGTATATGTGCATTTAAAAAAAAACACCTAGAATACCTGTGAGAATATTAGCTGCTTCAGAGTGATATATAATTGCATGACATGTCAGCACAGGAATACCTGCCTGAACACACTATTCTTTCATACCAGAAGCCCTTCTGAAACAGTTTTTCTTACACCAAGTGCTCTATATAGTTATAAAGCAATAGATTCAGCAG